ATATATATATATATATATATATATATATATATATATATATATATATATAAATTGTGCATATTTTAGGATGAATAAAATAGAGCTAAAGCACATCTGTCCTTAACATCGCATTCCAGTTATTAGGAAATACCTCATCTATTCTTAGTAATAGCTAAGTTGTATTAACATAGATTCTAAAAGTATTTTTTGTGTTTTCAGACCAATTGGTGCAGATATTTAAGAAAATCTAAAGTTAATCACACCCTAATTAGAATTTTTTTCAGACAAGAAAGATACGTGCAGTAAATCTATGATTTAGAGGCCAATTCTGCATCTGTTACTGGTTCCCAACAGTTGTTAGAAGCTACACTGAACATCCTAGTGGTTTGTACTCCATATACTTATACGTATATGCAGTTAAATACATGTGAACAGTACTATGATTATTGTTTTTGGAGGTACAGTACTGAGACATGTAAAACTTACTCACTTTCCATTTGAATATTGGTAGAATAGAAAATTCTAAGAAATGAAAAAAAGCTTTACAGCAAAAGCTACGCTGAAAGTAGAACCGCACTAGAAAATGAACCTCGTAGTGGAATAATGAAACTGATGCAAAATTCTTTCCCTCTCACACACATAGTGTGTTGTACAACTGTAAATATAAAAGTTTGTAACAACAACTCCTAGCATGCCTTGCAGCTCTGACGCGGCACTACAGGTAATAAAACCAAGAGGAAGCCCCACTCCGGAAGTTCACCACTGGTGCACCCAATGGTGGTTGAAGTCACTTGCATATCACTTCTTTACAATTCCTTTGAAAAAGAAGCCTTTTAAGCTTAAAGCCTGCAGAGACTGATAGTCTGCTGTTGGCTGATTGCCTTGTGGGTTGGTTAATGATTAATACATACCAATTGGAAATAAAGATTCAAATCATTGACAGTTACTAATGATTAGTTTAAACCCAGGTCTATTACTGGTGTAAATATTTGAATTTACTGGTAAATTAAGTTAACGATGTTTTAATTGATAATGCCAATTGTTAATTATAATAATTATAATAATTAAAGGTTGCTAGATCTACACCAATGCAGCATCTCCAGACCTCCTGCGTTACATTACTGCACAGCATGTTGTGTATATAGAATATGACAATATATTTTATATTGTATATTGCGTATTGCATGTTTTATAATGTATTTAGCTATAGACTTTGTATTCTGTATATATACATAATTTGTCTGCACCATCAACACAAAGTCAAATTCCTTGTAAGTGCAAACCTTCTTGGCAATAAATCTGATTCTGATCTAAATCAAAATTACCTAAAACATTGCTTCTGTTGTGGATAGATTCTATAATTTACAAATATTCATAGTCCAATATAAGGTATTGCACAACACAGTGACTTAGAAAAACTTTATTTTGCATACACAGAGTGTATACAAAACAAAATTTACTGACCCTGTGGGTGAAAAACTCATGGTGCAAAAAGTTATGTGTAAAGTTATGTCTTCTTCTGTAATTAATACAAACATGAGTCTATGTCTAAACTTTGCCTTTTTTCCAACCCTTTCTCCATCTTACTCTGTATTTTTGTCTCATCTAGTACCTCCATGCTTTCATTATTGTTCTTCTGGGGCAAGTCAGATGGTTAGTTACATAACCGTTATATGTAATATGTTATAAATACCAAGAAATGTTTATTTTCTGGTATCAGCATTTGCAGTTGATCTGTGATGATGCATGTATGCAAGCTTGCACGACTCTCCACCTGTCTGGGTGGTTCTTGTAGCTTTCATTGCAGGGGTATGCATTTCTCCCTTACTGTGTGCACACAGCTACTGTAAAGTTTTCGGAGCTTGTGTGGTGTACAGTAGTGGCATGTTTGTGTGTTTGCCTCTCCTCTCTGCTCTACGAACAGCAGGCCAGCTGACATCTCAGCGAGGATGGATTAGCATATCAAGCTACTGCCACAACTCTGCGTGTCTTCTGACAGCTACCTCACCCCCATGGGGTCGAGTGCAGCAAAGACAGGGGTATCATCTCCAGGACAGAATGCAGGAAGATCACAGTAGAGCAGGAAGGCACAGGGAGTGGTTTAGCTTCTCAGTCAGAGGGCCTGTTCATAACAATGTTGCTCAGTAGATTTAAAACAATCCTTGTTATCATGGCCCCTGAGCCTGCCAACTGTTTCTAACACAGCTTTGCAATGCTGCAATTTATCTAGTTATATTAGCAATTCATCATAACATTGCAATGCAGACATGGGTAAATAGGATGACGAACACTGGATGAAAATACAAACTATTTCTTTGTCTTAACGTCTTAGATCAAATCAGATGACCATTTGCTGTTTTATCAAAGGTTAGGATTGCACAAAGTATTTGCATTTACTGAATGCAAGAATAACAACATAACATAATTTACATCACAGTAAAGATGCATTTACAGTGCATTTCTTCATAACTTTACTAACGCGATTGTAACATTACCTTTTTGCCTACATTACTGACAAAAAATTAGACCAAATTTCCTGATATAGATTGGATAGGGTTAATCAAAGGTTTGAATTTACTTAATGTCAAAACAATGACGTATATATATATATATATATATATATAAAGTATATATGTAATCTTCTTTAAATCTATTTATCTATATATATATATATATATATATATATATATTTTTTTTTTTTTTTTTTTTTGCCTTTTTAATTGTCTGACCTGTGTCTAATGTTTTGAATATCCTTCTAGAGGCTCTGAAATACTGCAGGTGGTGTAACAGTTAGGTTTTTAGACCAATTTGCTCACAGACCTTATAAGTTCTGACCACAAATCCTTCATGAAACACAATCAGGGCTTTATGGAGACTTGAATACAGTGACCTTCTTGCCACTCTGTCCTTATTTGGCAATACGGTTAGGGCCACTGTCCATTTAGAGGACCCATTTGTGTTGAGTTCTAACTTCTAGACTGATATTCTGTGAAGTGCACCAATCCGTCCTGCATCAGAACATTCACACAACATGATGCTGCCATCCCTGTATTTCACGGTATGCTAGGTGCTCTTAGGGTTATCTACAGGGTTAAAGAGGCACATTACATTTTTTACAGCAATGCAAGTTGTTTAAAGATTGGGTTCTTTCTTCATCGTGAGCTACCAGGTCATGAATCTGATGAACGATACTGAGGCTGACAATATACACATGCAGACTTTATTTATCTTTATTGACGGTATTGATTTGTGTTTCCCTTTTTCAGATCTTTTAGCTTACATCATGTCCTAAGACCTGTTTTATCTAATTGAATTTGGTATTCTGGCTTTAATGCTTCTGGGTAATGGACTAAAAAAGTGGCTCATCACAGCTGATCTATAATTTGAACCCTTCCTGAGACACACACACACATTTCCACACAAACCTCTCTGCTGACCATCAGTCTATTCCATAGACTAAGAAGGGCTTAGCTGCATTGTATGTATCTACATTCTACATTTCTATAGATAGATTTTTCTTCTCAGGGTGTTTTATAATTCTACAAGTGGTTGTAACTTTGTCTGAATTGTACATGTGCTTTCTAAGCCTCGACTACAGTAAAATGCTGTGTTTTCATAATGAATATAAAGATTCTTATTTGATAAGGGAGTGCTTCATGTCTCTTTTTTCCTGAACAAAACAAGGAGAACTTCACTAAGTTAAAATATGTTTAGGTTTCTGTCCTTTGCCTGTTTTTCTTAAGCAGAGGATAATAGGTGGTTTGTTGGATGTAGGATAAGTTGCTAAATGTGTAGTTTTGCGATGCAGGAGTTTGCGCTTTATGCTTCTACTTCTTAGTTAAATATTTAGATTTTGTTTGCCACAAACATATAATGTGGTATGCAGCTACCTACAGTATAATGTTGAAAAGAAAAGGATTCAGATAAATTGTTTCAGTTTATGAGGAAAATCTAATCTTTAGATGGGTTCATTTATCAAAAGTATCTGATTACAAAGATAAAAACATTAAATCCCTAAAGCATTGATCTTACTGTCTCCTGTAGAGGCGTCCTGAGAGTCCAAGATGCCTGATTCTTGAAGGGACCTAATGCACGAGTCCACCAGTTCCAGGCCAGTCGTCAGCTCCTCCTCTATGTCCTTCTGTCCGTCTACATTGGAATAAACAAGTTAAAAAGAGATTAGCTCAGTTTATCTGTGTCAGCACTGCCACACTTATGAATTGCAAAAGCGTTTTTTTTTTATTTATAAACTTGCATTTTCCACTTGAAAATGGGGTCAAAATCCACGAAAACCTAGATTACTTTCAATGAACATTTCTTTTAGCTATTATTGTAAGGATGCTATCAAATAACACAGACAACTACTTAAAAATAAAATATATGTGTTTTAACTATTATTGTTTTAATTTGACATATGCTTTCTAACATTATTCCACTTCCTTTCTTTTAACAATAATTTCTATAAAAGCTGCATTCCTAAAAAAAAAAAAAACATGAAGGTCACCAACTGCTTGCAACCTTGCCAGCTTTTCTCATCGCATCAGATTTTATTAGATTTTATTTTACCCGTAGGAGCCGTGGTTAATTTACTTCTTAGGCTGTAGTGAGCTGATGTTGTCAGTTTAATGTTAAAATCATAGAAACTGTAATTTGGACAAATACTTAGAAAAGCATTTTACATCAAGTTTACATTAATGACAAAATCTAGTCTTAAATATTATTTATAGTACATCATTTTGTTATAGTCCTAATTATTATGATCATGTGTTGTACTTGTTATTGACATGGCGAAAAAATACAGAAAACTAGTGATAAATTTTAGCAAGTCCATTCATGTAATTTATATTACCTGGCTAGCAAAATGGTGAAGACAGCATTTCCTATGTTTTAGGAATAAAAAATAACAAGACTTCATAAAGGAATAAATCAGGCAAAAACTAAGTAAAAAAATATAGGTCTTGCTTTTGAAAATGCATTCAATCATTATTATTATAATTTTAAGTTTAATTTATTAAAAAAGTCTTAATGTTTCCTTATTGCTAATGCTTCATGGTCATTTTAGTTTTTCACAACCAACTCTAAATTTTAGATGGGTTATTTCTTATGTACATAGGGGCAGCTTGATTTGTAAAGCTCTACTTTTTTACTTTGATGCAAGTGCCATCATAATTAGAAATGTTTTATCCTTTTTTTTGTCTGACGGTAAGATTTATTTAATAGGAATAGACATTTAAGCATGAAAGAAGAAATCTGTAGGGGTAAACATTTCAGCACAAGAATATAATCATAAAAAAAAACAGATCCAGGGTAAAAGCTGATAATTCAGCAACAAATCTTTTGGGATTGAGGTCCACCTTGTGCTTAGATACCAGCCGTTTGTCTGTCAGACAGAGGCTGATAGCAGGCCAATGTCTTCCAGTTAGAGACGGCTGCCAAGGAAGATAAAAGCTTACAAATGAGTCTTACCAACAGCATTAATCTCTTACGGAGATGGAAAGAGAACGTTAATAGTAGCTGCCTTAGTGGGGGGATTTAGGAGGCCTATTTTATTGACTTCAACTGTTGCCTTTGCAGACTGATGCAGCTATTGGTAAAAACACTTCCAGGACCAGCTTTTAATGCTTCATTAAATTTAGGGAAGTCAGGTTGATTTATAGATCACCATTCACACATGGCAAATCAAAATAGGAACAAAGATAAAGAAAGTTACCTCAAAATCTAAATATTCATCTGGCTTTCAGTGTGTGGTTTGCATAGCTTCAAGTCTCAAATGGCCTTACTTTTTTCACATGCTTTGAACCATGCAGCTTATAAAAAGGTGTGGTTTTTCTGTGGTTTTTCCCTAACTGCCAGAGGGGGAAGTCACCGTTCCAAATGAGAGGATAAGGAGCAAATTTTCATTTAGTGCAAGAACATGCTAGAAGCAGACCCAACGGAAAAACAAATGTCCCAAATTCACACATTTGGCCATTTATTTGTCTCGTTGAACCTGCTGAACCAATGAAAAGACTCAGCTCAGCTCTAGCAGAGCTGAAATAAAGAGCCGACGAAGCCCCATCTTTCAGTAGAAGCTCTTACTGTTGTGAGCCAACAAGCTAACGGGAGCTAGCCTTCTTTTGCGTCTCTACTCTATGGGCTATATGTAGAGCCCCATATCATGCTGGTTTAGAAATGAACTTCGGTTTTCTTTTTAAAACTATTAAATTTAAAGATATGCTAGTCTTGACCATTATTTGTCATGATCTTAGTATTGATGACTGGATTATTGGTTAATTTTATTCACCTGCCTAACTGCATGGTTTCTAATCACTGCTCATCTGATCCACCTGCTCCTGCCTCTATTTAATTTGCTTGCATCCAGTTTATTATGGCCAGATTATTCTCATTCTCTTGTGCCAGTAGTGAGAGGGTTTTTAGCATACCTTAATGTTTCTGATTCCATGATCCTGATCTCAACCATCAAGCCTACCTGTTCCCATCTCAACTATCTATGTCTGAACTATCTTCGGACTCCTGGAACTCTGAGCCTACCTGCTCTAATCTGTTTGCCTAACCTGGCTTCGGACTCCTGCTTGTTCTCTATTCTCTGGGGCTGGAGCATTCAAATGGTCCAGAATCTTGTTGGCACCCCTTCGGCTAGATCCTACCTCATACTCAGGGTATGGGCTAAACTGTTAAACCAGGTTAGTGACTCACACGTTCATATTATCCTTCGTTAGATTTATGTGGTAACCTTTTTACAGAGTTTCCTGTGATAGATGCCTTAGCCACTGCTACTCCGACCAGACGTCGTTTTACTAAACGCTTTTTTAATTATCCCACTCTGTCTTGCATCAAAAACTGGGTCCTCTGTTATGAGTGACATTATTATTACATTATTACATGACATTATTACTGATTTTATTGATAATGTCAAATAAATATGACTTGCCTCAACCAGTTCAACTACCGATTATATTTTGAGTTTACAAACTCTCATTTTAATTTTGATTATTTTCATTTATTTCCCCTCCTGCATAGGAAATAAAACAAAAGGTCTATTTTCTTATTTTTCTATTGAGTTTGGAGTAATGAATTCATTAAAGTCCTGACTGGAGGAAAAATTGGTTTATTGTTAAGTAAGGGGAGTCTTTCTTTGCAGAGCGGTCAACCTAGAGCACAGCTGGCTGGGCACAGAAAGACGTCACCACAAATCCTTTTTTGTTGTGTTTGCTACCTCTTTGTTGGCAGAGGTCGCCTACTGTGCACCCAGCTAATCAATCTGCTCTCAATATCCTATAGATCTGAACATGACTGACAAAGAGACAGAAAGGCTAACTCAAGTGTCAACCATAGCGGGTGTTTTTTTGTGTGTGTCTTTTAAACTAAAATACTGTCAAGAAAATGGTCCAGCCTTGAAAGGGGTTTTCATCTGACTTTTAAATCATCTGAAAGTTCATTACTTTTTTTTTTTTTTTTAGGCTGCCATTTGTATGGTGCACTTCTTATCTGAATAAGTACTACAAATTATTTGGAAATGCGGTCTGAGCGCTACTTAATGAGAGCTGAAATGCAAGAAGAAAAGTAAGTTTTTCCAAAATAATTTTCTAACTATGTTGAAGCTATCTATTGTCCTCCAGCAGTTTCAGCAGCATATTGACAAACAAGCAACAAAGAAATAATGATATAAACATACAAGATTGTAGATCACCTTGGTTGTTCCAGCGAAACTTCTCATCTGATGAGCTGTAAGATACAAAGAATAAACACAAACCTTGGTTAGACATAGAGTGCAGACACTGATTTTATTTAGAATTAAATTGTTTTTCAAAGGGATGCCCATGCAAGGATTCTGTAGGATTTGATTCAGGTATATAGTATACTATATCTTGTTATTTTTCATCAAAATCCATCGCAAGCACAAAAGCTTTTAGGAATAACAATAAAAGCCTTGTTATTTTAAAGCCTTTTTTATTTGAAGTCAACTGACAAGTGCTCCCGGTAGAGCATATCATTTTACGAGCCCTCCAAAAGAAAACAAAAGCACTGTTGTTAATCTATGTTAAGGGGATTTCTTTTTTGAAAGATGTTTCTCTAAGATCTATGTTGCCTTGGAAAAGTTTTAGGTATGGAAAGATATGGACAAAAAATAAATCCCAAATGGTGGAAAGTTGCTTAAGAGTGGAAAACATTACTAGATAGGATTGCCTTTTATCAGTAAAGATTAATATATAAATCAGGGATGTACTGTGGTTACATTCAACACACTTGATCACCGACAAAGTAAACAATATTCTTACAAATCCAAACAATCTGAAGCATGTTCCATGTTAAACTGCCTCAATGATGGAAGATCATCTTAGCCTCCAGATGAAAGATCCATAAAAACTCAGCCTTTTCTTAGAACGATGAAGTTTCTTTGCTTGACCGATGAATAAGCACTACCAGCATACACTAACATCAGCAATGTTCAGTGTGGAAGTTGGCATAAGACCCAACATACATTTTTTCCCCAGCTTTTATTGCATTTATTGTCATTTTCTGCATTTAACCCATCCCCTTAGGGAGCAGTGGGCTACCTTTGTGCAGCATCCGGGGAGCAATGTGGGGTTAAGGGTCTTTGCTCAAGGACCCAGAGTGGAGGCTGAGGGAGTGGGGCATGATCTCAGAACATCAGGATTCCAAGTGCAATGCCCTAACCATTAGGCCGCCACTCCCCAAATTTTTATTTTAGTATATAAATGAAATCAGAGAAAGTATATACATATAGGAATCCATTTAAGCTGTATTTTCTGCTACGTGGAAACCAGGACCACTGTATTTTTATTGATGATTGGTCTCCATAAGTCTGCCATTCTATCAGATCCAAACCTGCGAGAGTCGAAAACTCAAAGAGGTGGTGCTAAGAAAGCAGTTGGTTCTTTGGAACCAGTTTAATGGTGAAGTGGTTATAGGGCAACTGAAACAAAACGGAGATAATGGTTTCATTGTAAATGAAAAAGATTAACATAATACTTTGCCTTCCCCTGAGAGGAGGGTATAACTATGTGGAAGCATAATGTTTTTTTGTTTTTTATCAGGGAACACTGCTGGTGGTATTTTTTTATGTTGTCTGACTTTAAAGTGAACACACACACACCCATCACAAAAACACACTGGTGACCTAAAAAGACTAGCCATAAAATGACAAATTCTATTGAAAACCTGTAAACATCGACCAGATGCCGTTTAATCATCTCACTGATTACCTCCACTCAGCGAGCGTGTATGCATAGTGTGACGGATTGCAGGGACCAGCCAAGCAGCACATGTTAATGGAGCCCTCTGCCAGCATAGCATCCCCTCATTCATCAGGCATTGTTATAACCAAAGACATACCCCAACATGTGTACAAACATGGGCACGCACAAGCTGTGAACTCCGAAGTCTTTCAGGACCGATGTGTTTACAGCGGACAAACAGCCTGGCGGTAACAGCCAGGCGTGGATTACTATCAGTAGTCTGCTCTCTGTAAGGTAGCTCACTTAACTCTAGCTGAGAGACCATTTTTTAAGAGCAGGACAGGCTGGATCTGTCTGTTTGCTGGTGTCAAAATGTTGTTTCATTGCTTTTGAATTATCTCAGTGATGGTGAACCATTGTTTTTACCCTCGACTGCCTGTGGGTGACCAAGTTAAAGCCAAATGCAACCTGAGTGTCCGCATGAACACCTAGCTGCAAACTGTGAGGAAGTAGGACACATGTTGTTAGCATCAAGTAGTTACATGAAGAGAAGTCGAAGGTGGGGAATAAAAACAGCCCAGAGGATGTCAGAGTTCTGTCAGATAAAATTACTATTTTTTTTATGAAGAACGTACAGTATATAACCACAACAATAAATACAACACTAAACACTCATATGATGGTCTACAGTATTTACATTTTTATGTAAAATAGACAATTCTCTTTTTTCTGTGATTTTGTCAAACCAAATTTAAATTGCATTTTTTTGCCTAATTAATGGCTAGCAAGTGATGATACCCAAGTAACATGTTTGGCTACAGTTCTAACTAAAGACTTAGTTGTTGTTTTTTCAATTGGGTGGAAAAGAAATAATATATACCACGACATTTCTTAACAAATACAAACTCTATGTTTGTCTGTCCTGCTGTTTAAAACATTCCAACCCTCAAGACAATAATTTGTGAAATAATCTGTTGTTGCTCTTATATCTTTTTGGGGAAGTCTCTTCCTGTTTATCACACCTAAAATTATGATATTTTTGTCAACTCCTCCATTCAAATTCTAACCTTAGCTTATTGCCGACTGGGTGGAGTGCATCTGTGAAAATCAGGTTTTAAGTCTTGCCCTAGATTCATTTAATGATCCCTTTCTTTTGCAACACTTCAACAAAGACAACATTGTTAAAGTGTATGTCTATTACTGTAGTTGTCCTGCTAACAGAGCGGAGTTGTGGTGACAGTGGAGTTCTTGGCTCTTTCAACTTCGATCAATGCTCCTCTTGTGCAGACTGTCAGTTTGGGTAGATTGTAATCTTCTCTTTAGTATTGGGTTATCTACTTTCCATTTTCACTATAAACTACATCCTTGGCAATCTTAAGATTCTGTTTCCAACACTTCAAAAAATGAGCGATATGGATTAATATTAAATTGCTCACAGGAATACTCCATTTAACAATGAGGAGAAAGAGATTAGTTGCAACAATTTTCTTTACTGGTATCACAGTTAGAAAGGCTGAACAAAAATTAATGGCAAGGCAAGACAATTCCAAGTGCCTTACATGAATTAAACAGTAAAACAGAAGGAAAACATTTGGTTTACTTGGGCCATATTATAATGCGTTACTTTTTATTTGGTCTGTTGTTTAAAATAAGGGTAAAATTTGACTGAAACTTTGTAATGTGAGAAAATTCTAATACTTTTAAATTGTTCTGCAAGCAAGTCCATTCATGCATTTTCCGTCATGCTTATCCCAAGGGGGGTCGCAAGGGATACTAGTGCCTTTCTACAGCTGTCTACAGGCAAGAGGCGGGGTGTACCCTGGACAGGTCGCCAGTCCATCGCAGGGCAACACAGAGACAAACAACCACTCACGCACACCTAAGGAAAATTTAAAGAAGCCAATTAACCTAAAAGTCATGTTTTTGGACTGTGAGAGGAAGCCAGAGTACCTGGAGAGAACCCACGCATGCTAACTCCATGCAGAGAGAACTGAACCCAGAACCTTCTTGCTGCAAGGCAGCAGTGCTACCTTCTGTGCCACTGAGCAGTTGTTCTGCAAGCAAGTCATTTCTTTTTTAACAAACAAACAAACAAGAAGATACCAATGAGCTTTAATTTAGTGTAGGATACAGAGAAGCTTGATCATTTTCTCTGTGAGCCTAAACAGAGGAAGCCTATAGGAAAAACCAACTGAAGAAAATTAGAAAGCCTTGACTTATTTCAGAATCATCCAGCAGACTTTAAACTTGGTCAGTCTACTTTGCCATGCATCTCATAGTTCCATCTCCACGGTGAGAGAAATACGATCCTCACCTCTCTTCCACACAGGTAAAGCTTATCATTTCTCACTAATTGAAACAGCTCACTGACCTATTGGTCCAACATGGAGAGTCAAAGAGTCAGTTTTATTTTCCTTTTTCCTGCCTTTGAATCTTTTTGAAGCATCAATAGACCCTGACAGAGTAATTAGTGGAACAAGAGCGGACTAATTGACAGTGTGATCAGCTCTCTTGCTGCAGGTCACTCCACGCCACAGTACCTCATCACTGCTAATGATATAATGTAGTCTGGGGGCAGGTGTGAGAGTGCCTATTTTTGGGTGTTCACAAGGCAAACCTGAGCAGAAGGACACACATATGTTAACAGTAATAAAAAAAAAGACAAGAGTGACTTTTTGTGGTCCCTTTAGAAGCCCCTATGTATTACAGCACAAAGCATCACAATCTAAAGCATAAAAGGGCAACGTGCTGCTTAACCTTTTGGCAACAATAAACCAATCCTCACAATGCCTCCAGATTATTATTTTTTTCTTTGTTTATTATTGTTTTTATTGGGGGATGGTTAGTGGGTGCTGAAGCAACTGACCTTATTAAAATGGGCTGATGGAATTGGACAAACCTTCCCTCAAGTGTGAAGTCTTACTAAAAGAAGGTTTGTCCTAATTTCCTAAAAACTGATAAGTTAATTAGAAGGAGGTAATTAACTGCTCCTCTCTGTCCCGAATTAAAGTAATGACATTCCTGCAATCATTTAGAGCTACCACTTTGTTTTTTGTTCTACTTCAATAGTCATAAAACATTGTTTTTATTTCCTAGTTTCCATGGACCACACCTAAAAGATAATAGAAATTTTAATGTTACAAGAAATATCTGAGAAACATTTAGCTTCTCAAACTACAGGAGATGATTTAACTGTACACAGTAAAATTATATAGGCGATATTTACATTTTTTTTTCAGCTTGGGTTTTCAGGGTGGCCTGCAAAGATTACTTTTGACCCATATTTGGCTTACGGCAAATAAATAGGAGGCTATGTAAAGAGACATTTTTCTTAAATCCTTCAATATTTTAGGACCCAAAGTACTAGTCTGAGTTTAAATCAGGAACCTTTGCAGCTTTCTCTGGTTGCAACTACTCTTTCCTCTGACAATTAGGCTACCACTCCCACAGTCACTCCTCTTCTACTCAGAACAGATGTAGGGCAGGGCTAATAAATGCCTTTTCAACAGATTCCCCCCACCTAAA